ATGGACCAGTAGCACCTTCCTAGCATGGACCAGTTGCACCTTCCTAGCATGGACCAGTAGCACATTCCTAGCATGGACCAGTTGCACCTTCCTAGCATGGACCAATAGCACCTTCCTAGTATGGACCAGTAGCACCGGCCTAGCATGGACCAGTTGCACCTTCCTAGCATGGACCAGTAGCACATTCCTAGCATGGACCAGTTGCACCTTCCTAGCATAGACCAGTAGCACCTTCCTAGCATGGACCAGTAGCACCTTCCTAGCATGGACCAGCAGCACGGCCTAGCATGGACCAGTAGCACCTTCCTATCATGGACCAGTAGCACCTTCCTAGCATGGACCAGTAGAACCTTCCTAGCATGGACCAGTAGCACATTTCTAGCATGGACCAGTAGCACCTTCCTAGCATGGACCAGTTGCACCTTCCTAGCATGGACCAATAGCACCTTCCTAGCATGGACCAGTAGCACCGGCCTAGCATGGACCAGTTGCACCTTCCTAGCATGGACCAGTAGCACATTCCTAGCATGGACCAGTTGCACCTTCCTAGCATAGACCAGTAGCACCTTCCTAGCATGGACCAGTAGCACCTTCCTAGCATGGACCAGTAGCACGGCCTAGCATGGACCAGTAGCACCTTCCTATCATGGACCAGTAGCACCTTCCTAGCATGGACCAGTAGAACCTTCCTATCATGGACCAGTAGCACATTTCTAGCATGGACCAGTAGCACCTTCCTAGCATGGACCAGTAGCACCTTCCTAGCATCTACCAGTAGCACCTTCCTAGCATGGACCAGTAGCACCTTCCTAGCATGGACCAGTAGCACCTTCCTAGCATGGACCAGTTGCACCTTCCTAGCATGGACCAGTAGCACCTTCCTAGCAAGGACCAGTTGCACCTTCCTAGCATGGACCAGTAGCACCTTCCTAGCATGGACCAGTAGCACCTTCCTAGCATGGACCAGTTGCACCTTCCTAGCATGGACCAGTAGCACCTTCCTAGCATGGACCAGAAGCACCTTCCTAGCATGGACCAGTAGCACCTTCCTAGCATGGACCAGTAGCACCTTCCTAGCATGGACCAGTTGCACCTTCCTAGCATGGACCAGTAGCACATTCCTAGCATGGACCAGTTGCACCCTCCTAGCATGGACCAGTAGCACCTTCCTAGCATGGACCGGTAGCACCGGCCTAGCATGGACCAGTTGCACCTTCCTAGCATGGACCAGTAGCACATTCCTAGCATGGACCAGTTGCACCTTCCTAGCATGGACCAGTAGCACCTTCCTAGCATGGACCAGTAGCACCTTCCTAGCATGGACCAGTAGCATCTTCCTAGCATGGACCAGTAGCACCTTCCTAGCATGGACCAGTAGCACGGCCTAGCATGGACCAGTAGCACCTTCCTATCATGGACCAGTAGCACCTTCCTAGCATGGACCAGTAGCACCGGCCTAGCATGGACCAGTAGCACCTTCCTAGCATGGACCAGTAGCACCGGCCTAGCATGGACCAGTAGCACCGGCCTAGCATGGAACAGTAGCACCGGCCTAGCATGGACCAGTAGCACCGGCCTAGCATGGACCATTAGTACCGGCCTAGCATGGACCAGTAGCACCGGCCTAGCATGGACCAGTAGCACCTTCCTAGCATGGACCAGTAGCACATTCCTAGCATGGACCAGTTGCACCTTCCTAGCATGGACCAGTAGCACCTTCCTAGCATGGACCAGTTGCACCGGCCTAGCATGGTCCAGTAGCACTGGCCTAGCATGGACCAGTAGCACCGGCCTAGCATGGACCAGTAGCACCGGCCTAACATAGGCTAGTAAGCGCTTTCTAGCATGATCCAGCATGAAATATTATAAGAAATTTTATGAGAAATGTTACACTGTCAGCAGTGTTACTCAACACTGTCAGCAGTGGCACTCAACACTGTCAGCAGTGTCATTCAACACTGTCAGCAGTGTCACTCAACACTGTCAGCAGTGTTACTCAGTAATGTTAGCGGTGTTACTCAACGCTACCAACAATGTTACTCAACACTGTCTGCAGTGTTACTCAACACTGTCAGCAGTGTCACTCAGCACTGTCAGGAGTGTCACTCAACACTGTCAGCAGTCACTCAACACTGTCAACAGTCACTCAACACTGTCAGCAGTGTTACTCAACACTGTCAGCAGTGTCATTCAACACTGTCAGCAGTGTCACTCAACACTGACAGCAGTGTTACGCAACATTGTCAGCAGTGTTACTCAATACTGTCAGCAGTGTTACTCAATACTGTCAGCAGTGCTACTCAACCCTGTCAGCAGTGTTATTCAACACTGTCAGCAGTGTTACTCAACACTGTCAGCAGTGTCACTCAACACTGTCAGCAGTGTTATTCAACATTGTCAGCAGTGTTACTCAATACTGTCAGCAGTGTTACATAACACTGTCAGCAGTGCTACTCAACCCTGTCAGCAGTGTTATTCAACACTGTCAGCAGTGTTACTC